ACAGCTAAATACCCAGCCAACAGCAATCCAGATATCCCAGTTGGCTGCAGTGGAGCTGAAGATTGGCCACGCTATGCTTAGAGAGCTCCCCCATTACCTGTTTCAGGCCGTAATTAAGCCATGCTTAATAGATCAATTTTCGAGCATTTTGGTAATGACTCTTCATTAATCTTCACTGTGAGTAAATTGTAACACTCCAGAGAGAGGGTGTGAATGAAAGGCGGGTATCTCCAGATTCTGCCATCCTCCTCCTCCTTTGGCTGCTTATATTCCAACTAATTTCCAATTCTTTTGGGAAATGTACATTCTCAGAGATTATCTGGATTAGTTTAACGACAGTGGAGATGACATTTTTCTTAATGCAGTAGTATAATATTAAAAGATCTGTATTAGTAACACTGGTGTAATGGTAATGAAATATAAATATGTAATCACAATAGATGCCATGTATATGTAGGGTGTACGTGTGCATGTACTTACTATTTTTGTCTTGGATATGTTGCTCAAGAATATTTTCAAGCTTAAATGTTGAAAAAAATAATCTCCCTTTTCTTTTTTTCTTTCTTTCTCAGGGGAACACATTTTGTCTTTTGCAGCATGTGCTGGGAATGAAGCAATCGTGCAGTTGCTAATTGAACATGGTGCTAACATTCAAGTGCAGGATTCCCTCGGTATGCTTTCCTCAAAGGGCCTACACATATATTAAGGGCATGTGTGTGGGAAGAGAAGGTGCTTCTATGCAACTCCTCCCTTGAGTAAGGGAAACTCCCTCCCATGCTTCCTGCCATTAATAGTATGCTGCAGATGTAGGCAGCTACTCCTGGGTCAGTTGTGTAGCTCAATATTATCTAGTACAGTGCTCCTTCTTGCAGAAGTCACCAAGGCCCCTTTCTGACCTATAGAGTAATCATGTTTGTGGGGGGTTGGGGGAGAGAGGTTGGCTTCAGGCTGCATTCCTTTGTCCCCAAAAAACACCCAAGTAACCTTGCTGGTCATGGAAAACTATAACCTCAAGTTGCAGGGGATGGAAGCATGAGACTGTCACATGTATATGTGAAGCCTAAAGCAAATGCTGAAAAAAATGCAGATGATCTAAACTAGCTTTAAGAGCCAAGCTACATGATCAGAAGAATCACATTGTTCAGTTTTAAGCAATTATCACTTCAGAATGCAGACAAGGATTATGTATTTGAATACATAATGTGTTAGAAGATTCTTTTCTGTATTGTATTTGCTTTTTATGAAGAGAGATGCTATACGCATTTCATACACTGAATCTTGAAAAGATGCATCCTCCTCTCGTTGCCCAAAATGATACAAACTGACTACAGCTGGTTTGGTTGACCCTGTTGTTTAAACAACTTGGCCTGGAATCTCTTAATTTAAAAATTAAAAAGTGTGTTCCAAATCATACAGCAGCCAAAACTTTCTTGCACAAATATTCAATGCATGAAACTCCATTCTTCAGATTTTAATGTTGGGCTCCTTTTCCTGCAAAGCCAAAACAGAAGGTTGAAGAGTCTGAACAAGGATCAATGATTTACCAATTTCTCCTTAGGATACAGGGATGAATTTTCTTTCTGTTTATCCCTGACAGGTAATTCAGTCTTCCACATCTTAGCCCTCCAGCCTAACAAGGTATCTGCATGTCAAATATACGATCTCCTCCTTTGTTATGGCAAGAAAGAGAAGGGTTTGGGTGACCTGGATGCAGTCCTCAACTATGAGGGACTCACCCCATTTAAACTGGCTGGGGTGGAGGGCAACACCTTGGTGAGTAACGTAGTTTCTTGACTACTTGTTTTTGTTCTTTCTGATTTGAGGTATATGCCACTTTTTCAGAATGATTTAAAGGTGTTCAAACTAGGTCTACAATAAAACCGTAAGACCCTAAAACAAAATAAAGCTACAAGTGATGTATATTCAGTAAGCATCCTGATGGCTCAGATAGTTGTCTCTAAGTCCAGTGAGGCAGTAGGATTGTTCTTATCTCGTCCCTTTTCTGGGCTCACTTTCCAATGAACTGCAGACTTCAAAGCCTCCCTGAATGAAGGTGGGGAAGATCCATGACCTCTTTGAGAGGAATCTTGCCAGATTTCCTTTGAAAGCTCTTAGCCCAACTTGTACAGTGGGGATGGCAAGTCTTATTACTTGCCACTGCCAAGCACTTCTCCTTCTTGAATGTGTGTCTTTAAAATCTTGTAGGGAAAACTATCAATCATCTCCTTCCTTGTAAAACTGGAGGAGGATGTGTTGTGAGCTTGGCAAGGGGCTGCACAAAGGAGAAAAACAACATATTGCCAACTCTGGCAAAGCTTGATTAGCCCCTTCATGGCTCCCTTCTGGCAGGCAGTAAAATGATACTTTTCCCTCACTCTTCAGGGGTTGGATTTTAAAGGCTGATTGCTAGGTTCCCCTCCGTTTTGGAGCTATTTAATCTTTGATCTTAATTTTTAGTACATCACTGAGCAAATTGAAATGCAGCCTATACATATTTTTTAACTAACATTTTTTTCCTGACCATTTTATTTTATTTATTCATTTATTTGATTGATAACATTCCTTTTCACCAAGAGCTCACGTTGGTGAAACATAGAGCTTTCTGTTCCATATTTTCCCCACAATAAAAGCTCAGTGTAAAGTCAAACTGAGAGACAATGGTTGACCCATAGTCCTCTGGTGACCTGAGGGTGGACTCAAATCCAGGATCTCCTTGATCCTAGTCCAGCACAGTACATCAGCCTTTCTGAGCTGCTGTGGTATAAAAGACTAAATGATTTGATTTACCAGGGGAAACCCCAAATACCTGGGCAAAAAAAAAACATCAGAGCAAACATTTATTAGCATGAAAGAACTAAAGGCTAGTGACCCTAACCTTAAGTAATTGGCTTGTGACACTACATTAAAATAAAGCCGCATACAAATATACAGTTATAAATATTAGTATAGCATATTTGGCATGTGTGTTCTGGACAGGAAATTCCATTTCAAGGTGGAAGTTTATCAAATTTCCAGGCCACCCAACTATGGGTTGTTTCACAAAATTAAAAAAAGACAATGTTATATAAAAAGACAACACTCATTTGAGAGAAAAGCATAATTTTCTTCCACATCTCCCTCATTTTGAAGGGATCCATGTCAACACATAACCCAAGGCCTGGGAAAAAAGCCAAGTTTTTAACAATTGCTTGAAGGCTGTATGAATCTCTGGGGAATGCTGTTCCAATGGGCAAGTGCTGTGACATAGAAGGCCCGCTTCCTGGGTCCTGCTAGATGACACCATTTAATTGGTGGGCCCAAACAGAGCCAATTCTACTGGAATGCACAGAGCAGGCAAACCAAAGAAAATAGACAATCCCTCAAATAGAGAGGCTAGTTAAATGCAGGAAGACGTCTATGAATCCAGCTATGTAAGGCACGTTATTGATGGTTTCATTATATTCTCTACCTTTTTTATTGGCTTGCATTTTGGTAAATCTACCATTAAAAGAGAGAAGCATTATGACAGATATCAGGTGTGGGAGCAAATGCCCCTTCAACACAAGGGTCCAGGCTGACTGAAATTTTTCTTTTCTCCAAACCAGATGTTCCAGCACCTAATGCAAAGAAAAAAACACATCCTATGGACTTTGGGGCCTTTGACGTCAACCTTGTATGACCTTACAGAAATTGATTCATGGGGTGATGATCAATCTCTCCTGGAACTTATTGTCACCACAAAAAAGAGAGAGGTATTTTGTTGGAGGGAGAGGCTGCTGAATGATTTTTCTCAAAGTGCTTTCCTAGTGGAAAGTCAAGTTTATTCAGTAAGAGCAGATCATCTTTTCTGAATGCAGATTCTTTTCTACATTTTATTTTTCAAAGTGCATCCATAAGACAGTGTTGGATGCCTTCAATGTCTGCAACATGTTGGAGATTCTGTGGCAGACATTTGGAGATTTTCTGACTGATGAGCTCTCGTACAAAAAGATCTCCAAAGAGTAGAAGATTTCAACAATGAAAGTTTTCTGATCAACTAAAGTAAGAAAGCCATTGCTGTATTGAGTGTTCAAAGAATTTCAGGTGCATTCTCTCAATATTATTCAAAGCAAACCTTTAAAGTAGACACCGTGACTATCCCTGCATTACCAACAGTGCAAGCTGAAAGAGAGAACAGCTTTCCTAAGGTCACCCTGTGATCAAAAAAAATATATTTGCCTAATCTTTACTGAGAGCTAAGGACCACTTGTACCCTATGCCACTCTCATGGTCATGTTGGTTGCTGATTAGAACATGCCGTGTTTAAAACAATTGAAGGAAATAATGCTACCAACTAGCATGGGAACTGGGTCTTGAATGTGGCATTTTTAGTATATATGAGCCGTGAATGGTTATCCCTGCTCAAAAATCTCCCACAACTTCAAGCTATATTCTGCTTTTGCTATCATCTTCATCCTTACCATCTTTACAATCAGTGTTATCCATTTTCCATTTTTACATAGTGAAGGCTGCTAACCAGAAATGCAGCACTCCATCTCCAAGTAATGAGAAACATTGAATCTTTCAATTCATTCTCCAGGTGGAATGCATTCTTTTAAAAATGATCCAACTACCCCCCTTCAGGGCTGCTTTTCCGATCTTTGAGAATTATTTGTTTCTAAGAAAAAGGCTGAACACAGGCTACTTTATATCCCTCAGGCCCGAAGGATCCTCGACCTTACTCCTGTGAATGAGCTGGTAAGCCTGAAGTGGAATAAATATGGACGGCCATATTTCTGCATTCTGGCCTTATTCTACGTCCTGTACATGATTTGCTTCACAATGTGTTGTGTCTACCGGCCACTGAAAGAGCGGAGCTGCAACAGAACAAATGAAAGGGATAACACAATCTATGTTCAGAAACTTTTGCAGGTAGGTTCTTTAACATGAGTCTATTAAAAATGTAAAAATCACCTATAACTTTCAGTTCCAGGAGACCAACTCCTCCACGCACACAAAGAGAGTACAGAACCAGATATAACCAAGGACAATTGAAGAACAGTTGGCCTGTGAGGCAAAAAGTAGTGACATTGTCCATTTAATGTAATTGTGTGTGTGTGTGTGGGGGGGGGACTGTACAGTAACAAGATGGCACCAGAACATAATGACAGGCAAATTAGTAGTTAAGGGGAAAAGTGTGTGGACACTATTAATTTAGATCATGGATTTTCCAGACAAATGACTTGTCACATTACCATTTTGAAGAATGTTGTGGGACTATTTTGTCTTCTTACCAGAATTTTTTTTGTGGAAAGGAAGTAGTGGTGAGATAATGCAGGATGGTAGTAAGCGGAAGATCTATTGTCTAGATGTCTTGTAAAATTCTGTGATCAAGGCAGAACAATGGCACCATAAAACTTCATCCTAAATCACTTCAGAAGATGCACAATAGGTAGTCAAGTCTTCTTGTTTGAATGCAGAATGCAACAACCCCAGTTAGGCTAGAAGACTATTTAGCAACTTGAAGGGCTTGCAGTTTGAAAGAGGAATTATGCTGGGTATACAGTAGATGGGCACACACAGCTAAGTGGCTTTTATACGAGAACCAGAATAATGTACAGTTAATGTACTGCAGTCAAGCTAATTGTAATATAAAGATAACAATTCAGAAAACTCCCTGAAAATTGCTCTTTAGCTTTTGTAGGAGTTAATGACCCAACTATGAGAGAACGCATTTTTGGCAAAATGGAAATATATGTAGAAAGATGGTGGAGGGTTTTTCATTACCGGTGTGGCTGCTGTTGTGCTCCTGTGAGGAAGGAGAACAGCACAGTTACTTGAGAGCTTCCTGACTGTAAACTGTGGTTGTACTAATATGTGTGCAGCATTTATTTTCTGTGCCTAACAGATTATAGAGGATTGTCTATATGAGCCACATTGTGGATATACAATAACTGTATGCAGGGCTTCATTTCATTTAGCACTAAAGTGTGGCAGTAAATGTGGTGGGAGATGTGGGTGTTCATTCATGCTGCTTTCCCAGGATTTCTCCCATAGCAGTCTTCCTAGTCTTAAATAGGACTATAAGCAAATTCAGTCAAATGTGTGAACAGTTCCCTTGCAGATCTTCACATTAACTCTATGGTAATCTTTTCAAATAGCCAGATAAACACAGGATCCCTAAAGTTGAACAGTTCAATATTCTTAATAAACAACTGACTCCCCATAACATAATTCTGTCCTGAATTAATTTCTCATTGCTATATCAAGGGTTTCTTTCCCTTGAATTTGGCCTCTCTCTTTCTCTAAAATATCACTGTCACCTAATACAGTGATTCCTGTTGTTATCTGTCACAATTTTACTTCTGGAAGGTTTAGTTTCCATTGTCATAACAGGAAACACTAACATTTACTTTCCTGGGTATGAGGAAGTTGAAGCCTTTTCATCTTTTAAAGAGAAGCAGATCCACACAGCAAAGATGAAGTCAAACTTTCTTAAATTATCTGAATGTCAGGCAATTGGTTCACTTTGCTTGGAACTGTGTTAGTTCTGAAAGCTGACTAGCACTGGGATTCCATTTTCAAACCCAGCTGAAAAGCAGAGGAGCCCAAGATATTATTAAGTAATCCCTATCAGTTGAATTCAGGTTTCTAAGTTTCCTGCTCTTTTTTCTCTTCGTCAAGATTTTACAGACTGATATGGACAGTCCATTAAAGAAATTGTGTAGTTTTCATGAACTGCATCTAGGACCATAAGGTGGATTCCACTGTGCCAGTCTTGTGCTTATCCACTGTCCTTCTGGGAGATGTACAGATTGTGGCAGGTCTTCAAGGAAAAGGCAAATTGATGATCAGTCGCTAATATTGTGTCTCTGATTTGATGCATAGATGTTTTATATTGGAGTATAGTGCTGAATATTCCTGAATTCACCATTTTTATTGGTCATCACTATCATCTTGATCTAAGTCTGGAAAACAAGAAACTTGGTTCATTGAAATATTACTTTTTGACAATGTGATGTTCCTACCAATATGGGCTTGCTTTTTTCCCCCCCCCCAGGAGTCTTATATTACTCCTGAAGACAACCACAGACTTGTCGGTGAGTTGATCACTGTTGTTGGAGCCATAGTGATATTGATACTGGAGGTAAGAGGAATGATTTTCCTTCTCCAACTTTTGTGTGAAAAAATGAGTAGAAAGTAACTGAGCACCAGAAGAAAAACTCCATAATAGGATTAGCAATATTGTTTTATATAAGTTCTTTCTAAATCCTCTGACCTCGGTATGAAGGCTACTACAATATATATGCTAGATCCTAACTGAATGGTGCAATGCTAATCTGTAGTGTAATAGTGCTTAACTGAGAAATCCCAGGGCTCCAGCCTATGCAGAAGTCATAGACATTTTGAACCAGGTGTTTTTGCACCAGCGAGTGATTTCTCCAAAATGAAAGAAAAGGTATCAGCATGTGGTTGCAGTCCAGATAATTCATTTAGATGCTAGTGTTTAAAAAAGGTCCTGGAGGATTCAGCTGGCTGGGAACCAGGCCCAGTTTAAATCTGGTATCTCTGAGTTCCTTTGGATTTTTTGTTTCTTTTCTTTTTTTTATTGATGAGAAAATGAAGCAATTGTTTTTAAGCAGAGCACACCTTTGATCAGTGGATTTATTCCAGATTCCAGATATCTTCAGATTTGGAGTTACCAAGTACTTTGGGCAAACTATCCTGGGAGGACCTTTCCATGCCATCATGTAAGATTCCTTTCTAGTTGCTTTGCCACTGAATGTTATTGGAAAAACTATACAAATTCTGTTCTTCATTGCTGTTTCTACCTCTGCAGCATTCTGTATGCCTGTATGATCCTGCTGACCATGGTGATGCGACTCACTAGCACCAATGGAGAAGTTGTACCCATGTCTCTTGCTCTGGTGCTTGGCTGGTGCAACATTATGTACTTTGCGCGAGGATTTCAGATGCTCGGGCCCTTTACCATCATGATACAAAAAGTAAGGCATTCCCCACAAAGAGAGGTGATGGTAGGTAGGTAGGTAGGTAGGTAGGTAGGTAGATAGATAGATAGATAGATAGATAGATAGATAGATAGATAGATAGATCTTTTCTATCTATAACCTTCTGATCTTTGATGAAAAAAATGCTGCCAGGATCACTGCATCAGCATTATCTTCATCTAGCAAGAGAGAAAGATGTGGATATCACTTATCTTGGACTTCTCTATAAGGCCCTCATCTGTAGATTGCTTTTAGGTTTATCCCAGCTCCATCTATTGAATAATAAAGAAATCATAAAGAAAAATAGGACTCTTCTCTCCATATCCTTGCAGCTGTCCTTCAGATCTAGCATGTGGGGAGAGATGTACTGATGTTTTCATATATTCAAATATTTCTGAATTCCTAACTAGAACCGTTATGTGAAATAGCAATAACAACTGTTATCTAATATCATCAATTGTACAGCCTCTCTTTGAAAAGACTTCTCACTCATAACTTATTTTGCCCTTTAAAGTAAGTTTTCCCTCACTCTGTATTCAGTGGAACATCTGCTGTCAACCCTTCAGTCCTTTTTGTTACAAAGGAGGATGCCCCCCTTGGGCATTTCCATCTTCAAGGAAATCCTCCACTTCTGGATACTTTGACTCTTTTGCAGAATATTTTTTCCTCCTTTCTTGTGGGATGGGAGTAGAAAGCAGATGGCAGAGGTAAAGGGACTTTTTACACATTCCTTCTGAATATCTTAGCACCCTTTTGGAAGCTTGTATGTGTCTGTGTTGAATACTTAAAGGGTCTGGTTCATTTTCATGGTGATTTTAGATGGCTTGGCTGTTTTCTTTTCTACCCTGATTGGGAACAAATTCAAGACAGACAGAAACAATTACTGAGCAGCCCAAGTTCAGCAGTAAACTTCAGTAGAAATCTGTTATAGTAATGGCCACCAGCTTAAATAGCACTGAAAAAGAATTTGATAAATACATTGACAAGGTAAGGGAGAGAAGGGCTGTTAAAATCTGCTAACCATGATGGCTTTATGAAATCCTAATACAGATAAAAAAGGCAAATGTGTGAGCTGTGTCCATCTTTATATGCTTTCCTGTAGCTACTTGAAACAGGAGCAATCAATAAAAATGAGAATAAACCAGAATAGTCCTGCAAACAAAAAAGGTAGAACTGAGGTAGTCAAAACTCAGCAGAGATACTGATTGATTAGTCCATCTCAAAACTACTGTTGAAGAGCTAGGATTTGATTGACATCAAGCATCAAAATTGTCTAGAACAAAGATCCCATAATTTAAGTGCCAGTCAAGAAAATCCTGTTTTGTCACTCCACGACTGAACCTTCATATCTCAGGGGGATATTCTACAGGGTTTCAGTTTCTGAATGGAATACCTAAACAAGTTCATGCTGAAGTGGCTGTTTCCAAAATCCTGATTTCTGACCTAAGGCTTAGGGCTAGGGTGACCTTTTCCTGGGACCCTCCAGATAGGTTGGACTTCAGTAGCCACAGTTCTTAGCCATCATGGCCTTCATAGATACCGCTATAAGGTATCTTCTGTTGTAGCCATATCTTGATTTTTCCTTTTCCTTTTATTTTGTTTTTATTTTACCAACTAATTAACAGAAGGAAAAGTACACACGTGAAAAGGATACATGGAAACATGCAGGCAAGGAGCCCTTGAAGTTGGAATGGGACTGGAATGATACAATCTAATCCAGAACATCTTTGACTTGTTCTAGAATATTGTTTCTTGAGTTTAGGTTTGTGTGAGAGAAGAGCTGCTTGGTCACTGTATGTTTTTCTATGTAGATGATATTTGGAGACCTCCTCCGTTTCTGCTGGCTCATGGTGGTGGTCATCCTCGGCTTTGCATCTGGTAGGTGACATATTCTAGACCTTTGTAAAACAAGCTATCAATAGCTGGTGTTTGCCTGAATACCGATCATGTAAATAAATGATACCCGGAGCCTGGAATCATCTGGATCAAAGCTAGAAAAGCACAAGAAGGATTGCTGCCGTGGTTTTTAACTTTTTTTTTTTTTTACTGCTGCTTTGATTTTCTGTTATTGTTTTAATGCTCAGCATGCTGATTTGATATTCTCATTTCATATTGTATTTGATAAAATGTTTTAATGTACGTTTTTATCCATTTTTTTAATCTACCACCTTTCTAATCAGTATAATGTTTAATTGTGAACTGCTTCAAGATTTCTTTCAATTGGAAGCAGTATAGATATATTTTAAATAAATAAACAGAACCAGCAGAATCCATAGAACTTAAGGGGGGTGGGATTGGTTGAACTTTCCTCTGCTACCTTTAAAATGTTTTTAAAAGCATAACACACATAATCCTTAACGTAACTGTAATGACGTTTCTACCCTGACTACAGGATTGGCAATAATTTTCAGTCCAGCATTGTCTTATCTGCCTGAAAAGAGCTTTCTGAGCCCTTCTTCTGGGGGTCACAAATGAGAAAATTGAGGGATTTGAAATTGATTGCATGCTAACCTGCGCTACGTTTTCCTCCTCCTTTGTTCTTCTTCCTTGTTGCTGGTTCTAAATCCCATTTCCCCCCCAGAACACACCTGCAACTAAACATTGGGTCTGCAATAGATTAATTTGTCTTTGGAATGGGGTTGTATTTTGGAGCCTGAACACAGAATGAAGCATGAGGGGGAAGATGCTAGAATATGAATCTAATTCTGGATGTACGGAATGACACTGAGCTTCACTTGCAAGGAGGAGAAGCCCAGCAATTCTTTAAAGCAGTGAGAGAGGGAATATTAGTGAATTCCTTCCACTAGGTTATAAGGTATCTTCTGTTGTAGTCATGTCTTGATTTTTCCTTTTCCTTATATTTTGTTTTTGTTTTACCAACTAATTAACTGAAGGAAAAGTATACATATGAATAGCAGAATGTAACCTCGAAATTAACAATCATGATAATAATGAAAAAAGGAGGGAGCCCCCCCCATCTTTTATTAGGTTGCAATCTGATTGGATTCTAAATTCTATAGAATTCTATATTCCTGTGGCTGGAACCAGTTCCTTGATACCCTGTGTAAATATTTGCTTCTTGCATTCTCTATTTTTTTCTCTATGTTGTCAGATAATATATGTATACATTACTTAGGTGATAACTTAATGAATCTGATAAAGTAAATTCTGATTGATGGAAGTGAATGCCACAGTAATTGATTAGACCTCAAGCTGCCACAAGAGTCACAGTTTTTGCTCCAACTGACTACCATTGCCTATCATAATCTAGCTGTGATGTTTAACCTGTCTTGTGTATCTCATCCTAATGTATCAAATCACAAAATGGAATTTGAAGTGTTTTTGAGGTTTTGCCAAGATCCTCTACTATTATTACTACTTCAGTGCCATTCTATGAACCAAATGGCACTTCATAGAACTGCATCTATAATACTACAAATCCCTAAATGTCAGATCATTGCTTCAAGGAGCTTAGAATCTAAATTTTTGCCATGTAGGAGATATGACAATAAAAGACCAGTATAAGCAAATGCAAACACACATCATTAGAAGTTTGGAGGTAGAACTTCAACTTCGATTTTTCATACAGTTCTTTTAGGCAAGATTCTAGCTACACCTTATACTTACCACACATTACAGCCTAACCATATAAGCACTCTGCATGTTCAAAGTTCTAAAAGCTTCCTCTCCATCAGATTGAGAAAGCCAGAGCATATAAAATGATTTGCAGAGTGAACAAATGGCATCTCTCTTCTTAGCAGCATTTCCTTCTGTTACTCCTTGCTCCTGTTATTCCCAAGACATTAGTTGCTGTGAAAAGAAATAATTGAGAATTGTAATAGGTTCAGTCTGGGAAAGATTGTCTGTCTATCTTCTATCTATCTATATCTATATCACACTTACATCATGCAGTCTTGCCAACCCAATCCAATCCAGACAATCCAATCAGCAAACATAAGCAAGATTAGGCCAAAAGCTTTACAGAAAAGGTATATTTTATGGAGAAATCTGATTGGAAAGGATGTCATGTTGTAAGTGGCCTGGGACGAGTTTCTTTTACAAAAGGGATGCACAAGGAGAATAACAACGAAGGCTGATGGAACAATGCAGCTACACAATGATACTGAGAGCAGACAAAAGTTCATATATGGCAAATGTTCAACAAAGGCACATATTCTGATTAGAAACTGAACTCATGTTCTTTTGTTTTCTTGGCCAGCATTTTACATCATCTTCCAAACAGAAGACCCAGATAAATTGGGCCATTTTTATAGCTATCCCATGGCACTCTACAGCACATTTCAGCTGTTCCTCACCATCATTGACGGACCTGCCAACTATGAGGTGGACTTGCCTTTTATGTATGGCATCACCTATTCTGCTTTTGCGGTCATTGCCGCCCTTCTTATGCTCAACCTCCTTATTGCCATGATGGGGGATACCCACTGGCGTGTGGCCCATGAGCGGGATGAACTGTGGAGAGCCCAGGTGAGGGATGAAGCTTCTGCCTATTAACTGATTGTACATGATGGAGGGGATCTGAGAAGGGGAGCTGAGCAGATTGTTCTCTTTAGGTTCATTCCTTTCTAATGAAAACTAGTAGAAAAGAAGTTCAGGAAACAGTGCTTGTGGCGATTTAACAAAGTTCTGCACCAGAGATGAGTCTTCTCATGATAAAATTGAAACCAAAATGTGTTTAGTATCCTTTCTGAATTAGACTTGGAATTACATTGTGATTCCAGGGTCTCCAGTGGTTCTTTGGATCAGTCACTCTTTTCAACCGTATAGTTATTATTGGGGAAACAAGATTTCAGTAATCATACCTATTTTAAGTATATGTAATTGAATTTTGGGAGGCCAAAGTAAAACCTGATTTTTTAAAAGATAAATATATAGTTTTCAAATTTATTCACTCATGCACATATATCCATACTATTACGCATGATGTATGACTGAGGATAAGAATCTTATCTACATAAATCCAGAGACTGAGAAGGTTCTAAGGATGCTAGAGTGGTTTTAAAAATTAGTACAGTAATTATTTGATTGGAGAAAAAATGAGTAGAAAAAAAACAGTGCTGCCAACTTTTAAGCGAAGAGAAAAAACAAAACCAAACAAAAATCCTAAAAAAAGATTTGAGGAAGGGATGAAGAAACATTATGCTGATCCTGCTTGCCCCCATCAGAGTGAGCCATACTTCGACCATTTCCTAAACTTGTAGTTGAGGGGGCAGAGTAAAGAATATGCTGCACTTCATCAAGATAGGTTGCATATTGGCATTAAGAGAAACTCCAAAACCTGTTTTGGGGTATTACCCAAGGTTACATGGGCACACCAGTGTTTATGTAGAAGTTAAGGACAAAAATGTAACCCATAAACTTCTGTTGGAGAATGTGAATTAAACAATGAAAAAAGAATGTGGAATCCTTTCCATGTAGAGTTCATGAAGCATCACGACTGGATTAACAATGGTTCCAAATATTGTTCAATATGGTCATCAAATGTTCGTATTCCTGCAGAGGATTTACAAAATAGAAATCACACGCATCTTCAGTCTGTGTTGCCTTCATCAACTATCACAAAAGAGGAAGTTAATAGGTTGCAGTCAGGACAGTAGAGGAGCCATTTGATTTAGTAATACATTGGAAGCCTTTTTTGGACTTTTTGCGTGAAACAGAAAAAAATGAAATTATGATGTATGGATTTGATGATTAGAAATAATAGTGGACAATAGAAAAAGTGAAAGTTATGTTGTAAACTGAAAGCTAGAGTTTAGTGTAAATTTATTCTTATATCTATTGTGGGGAAAGTCGGAAGTCATTCTTTTCTGTATTTCTCTTTTTTTCTTTCTTTTTGCACTTTTGACTTTCCATTCTTTCCTTCTGTCTAGACTCTCTATTTTAAATATTTGTTTTTGTTAGCTTTTATCTTTCTTATTTTTAAATCTAATAAAATTATTTGAAAAAGAGAAAAAAAACCCCTAGAAAATAAGATTTAATAAAACATTTTCACTACCCAATTTTTCCAAACTCTGTGTTTCAGGTTGTTTCCACTACCATAATGCTAGAGCGCAAACTCCCACAGTGCCTCTGGCCTCGTTTAGGGATCTGTGGAAAGGAATATGGGCTAGGTGACCAGAGATATCTGAGGTAGGTTTCATATATCAGTAGAGTAATTTCTGTACATCTTCTATGATAAAGAGAGAATCATGTTTGTAGAATAGTTACTATCTGAACCAGATTGCATCAGTTCCTGTTTACTTAATAAATTCATAACATTAATAAACTTGGCGCTTAGGATATTCTTGTGGCTATAGGGAATGCAAGAACAGAGGCCAAATGGATGAGAAGTAGCAGAATTAAGGAGCAAGACAGATGGTGGAATATTAATCTAAGGCTGGCCCTAGGAAGGAACAGTCTCAGTACCAACATTCGCTCCCAGATAAATGCTTAATATGTGGATTTGCTTATGTGTGTGTGTTTCTCTCTCTCTGTGTAGATGGATGGATGGATGGATGGATGGATGGATGGATGGGTGGTAGATATAGATTATCATGGTCATGACATTGAAATACTATTCCCCTTCCTTCCTCAATGTAATCATCACAAAGATAGATTTGTGGGAAAAGGTTTCTTTCTCCAGGACAGGATGTAAACTGGAGCTCATTTTTTCCTGAGGCACTATTATGCTGCTGTATATTTTTTTCAAATGCAAATGTTGCTTAACGGGCATACAGCCATAAACATGGCATAAAGGTTGCCAGGTTTATAAAGCAATCAGCACAACAGCATCTGAGCACATGTCACAATGAGACACTTGATAGGACATGTGGTGATTGCATCTCTGCCATTCCATATCGGTTTAGCTCAAATCGATCAAAAATAATTAGACTGCAAATCCCAGAGCCAAACAGCAGTTGGAGTGTATATAGAACATAGAATATTAAGAACTATTTTAAATACATTCCAGATTTATATTTATGACAACAAAGAGGTTCCTTCTCCTCACAGAAGGAACTTAACACTTTTCAGCATTTTTACAACATTTAATACTTCCTTTTCCTCCATTTTTACTTGGACCCCAACATTTATAGCATTCGTTTCAATTCCATTCTTCAATGTATCACTATTACTCCCATGAAATCTTTACACTATTCCTTCCAACATACTCTCACTTTAGGTTGAACCCAAATCATTTCATCACACTTATTCTTAATTCCATTCATTCTTCTAGGGGTGTCTTGCTCAACTCTTTTCTCTCATTTCCAAAACAATTTTCTATTCCCATTAACTTTCTCCTTTTTTGATGCCTTTTGAAATTTTAACCATTCCCTGATCCCTTTGACTGAATTCTTTGCAACTCTCTTTTTCTCTTATACCATATACACAGTATCATCCACTTCTTCGGCAGCAATCATTCTCTTACATGCATTTTTTTCATCCATAGCCTCTTTCATTTCATCATTACACCAAGCATCCTTTTTTTCTACTTCCTGTTAGTCTAATTCCACATACTTCTGTAGTATTTTGTAGCATTATTCTTTTCATTCTGTTCCAAGCAAATTCCACGTCATCTTTCCATTTTATGGAGGTGGGGAGGGTGCTTTGAGTCAATGTTGATTCCTGGTGACTGCCTGGACTAGTCCCTGCAGTTTTCTTGGCAACATTTTTGGGAGTGGTTTGCCCTTGCTTCCTTCTCAGGGCTGAGAGAGAGGGATTAGCCCAATGTCACCCAGCTGCCTTCATGCCTAAGGCAGGACTAGAACTCCTGGTCTCCTGGTCTCAAGCCTGGCACCTTAACCACTACACCAAACTGGGTCTCCTTATGGGAATTACAAATATATATATATCAGGTTTAGCAGCATAATTGTGCACTGCTAAAATATGGAACTATAAAATGTTTAACTACCTGTTTATTTTTATAAATGACATGGTGCCTTGAGCTTAATCATAACATTGACTGAATTCCCAAATTCAGAACAGCCCTAACCTGGCAAGATTTAATGCCCTTTCAACAGCTGTCTTGGAAGGGAAATTATGGGGTGTCCTGCTTAAACAAAGACTTTGCCCCTGGAATGGAGTTCCTGAAACATTAACCCACATTTTGCTATAATGCAATTATAAAGGTGTCCAGTTGTAGCTAATAACTCCCCATCTAGTCAGATTCCCAGGTCAACCTGATATATTTTATTTACAGTTGTTACCATCTGATCATTATGATTTTTATTTCTCTGAATTTGACTATGTTTTTTTTCCTATTTGTAAAATACACCATATTTTGACCACATCACTTTTATAATTATTAAGTTTTAATATGGTTTTTACTTGTTGTTTCACAATTGGTTTTCTTTTTTGTTTTTGAATTGGTCAATGGCGATAATAAATTCTACTTCTATTACCATTATTAGTAAACTGAATATCCAGTTTGTCGGTAAAGTTGTGGTCTCTGATAAAAAGGAATTAAGTTTATCTGAAAAGATAAAATATGTATGTCTATAAACTACATACAGAACATTTCTCTCTTCGAATCCACATTTTCACTGGCCTTGGCAGCTTTAATTTCTAATAAAAATAATTATGGTCTTGGTCAAGACATTCTCTAATACCAGTTAAGTGCTTAGTAATTTTTGGTCACATTGAATATAGATTGATTTTTTGTCAAAAAAGTGTTGGCTAAAGTTTTCACTCCACTTTTGTTCATGTCTGTTCTCTTTCGCTGTTTTCCACTATTGCTGCTTATTCTCTAGCCATTTCTCCCTCCACTTCATTCCTCCTGTCATCCTTGCATGGGATTATTATGTATTAAATGTGAGTGTAATGTTTTCAGCAGTGATTTCTGTACTGTTCATATAGATCAGCCTTCCAAGCTGGGCACCCTTAGATGTATAGATCTCAACTCACAGAATTCCCCAGAAAGAATTACTGTTTCTGAGAATTCTGGAAGTTGGTATACCCACCTAGGTTTTTGTGCATCTGATACACTCTTAACCTTGTGTGTGTGTGCGTCTGTGTGCGTGTGATTAAAATTAGTAACTTTTCCAACCACACATTCCCAGCTACCCATGCTTCTGTTAAATTTTAGGCCACATTGATCCCTGCAGCTTTTTCCAAAGAAAAATCATGATCATGTTTTTCTACCATGAGGGGGAAAATATAGGGCTTTTTATCCTTTACTTTCATCTTACACAATGGTTTCACTTATTTTGCTTAAATTTTCCAAAATGTTAAAATTCCCCTTTACAGGTTTAGAAAATTCCATGAGCATTGGAGGTTAATAATTTAGGAGAATTAAGATTTCAAGCAACCATTAAGTTATAATGGCTGTGGTTTTGCAATCCTGAATTATAGCATTAGTTACTGAAAACCCATTACGATTCAAGCAATATTAACATATTTTTCTTAAAACTTAGCTCAGGAGAAATGGAGATTCCCATAAACTAATTATTTTCATTTTTTTAAAAGCTTGTTTTATAAACTCTTGGGCTTGGTAATTATCTGCTACTTTTTTACCATAATCCATTTCATACATTGCAGAAGAAGAAATCTGACACTTCAGAAGAGCAAGCACTCAATAACCAATCCCAGCTTCCTGCTATGTGTGAAATTTGAAAACTTGTACATTGCCTTCACACTTTACATTTTTAGGAATGTCCAAAACACATAGTGCTTTTCATACTAGCAATCCTCCTCTATCGTAATAGATGAATAATGCTGATGTGGGAAGTTCCTAAGTAATTTGAGAAATTTAGATATGAAGCTGTAGGTATGGATGATGTGGCCTCACTGATCTGATCTAGCAACTACTTTAAGGCATTTAAGTGAGCATGTGCTTTGCCTGAAAACATTTGTAGTTTAAAAAAATGACAGTAAATAGCAGAAAACCTGAAAATCTCAAGCCCACTATATTTTGTTTCCCTGAATGTCTGGGAACAATGTCTAGCATCTTCAGAAGAAAAGATCTCAAGTAGCAAGGCTTTGCCAATCAAGTATTGAGCTAGATCAAGAGTAGCCAGCTGCTTTGGGCTAGTAAGGTTTCCAGATTTCTGAGAAAATATGTTAATGGAAGTGCTGTAGAGCTGAGCGCTGGTCTCCATTCTGGGGGATAAAAATGGTCAGCAGCTGCAGGTCAGCTTTTTACACACAACCCTCCAAATCCTGTAAGTTAAGAAAACAAGCATAATAATGCCAAGAACCTCCCAGATTCCAAAGAAAGTTTGGATAAGAACATTGTTGAGTCCCAGATTAGAGGAATCAGTGTGATCTTACTTGATGATCAAGTTTTTGTTGTTGCTGTTCTAACTATTCTTTTTAATAGTAAGCCACCCAGAGTCATCCTCTGGGGGAGATGGGCAACATATAAATTTAATAATCATAATCATAATCATAATACATACATTCACACACATACATACTCTGCCAAGACCTTCCATATCTATACTGGACCATTCCTGAGTCAGATCTTGTATGGAGCACAGGTGGGAACCAGGTATTAGATAAAAGAAGGACTTTGTGTGATCTTTTCCTACCAGGAAAAGAGATAGAGATTGAAATTTCTCTGAAAGTAGCAGCTGGGCTTCTTCTGTTATGCTGGAATCCATCATTCCCTCTATCTCTTCTCCAAGGTCAGTTCATCCACCCTTTGGGGGAATGTTTCTCAACCTTGGCGACTTTAAGATATGTGGACATTGTTCTGCTCGCTACTAATTCAGGAGAGCCCGGGCGGGGGTGGGGGTGGCGGGGAGAGACTGTCATAGTTGGCTGCTTCTGCAACATGAGACTTTTTTCTGCCTGCAGTGATTTGGGATGCTGCTATGAATATTGATTAAATATGAGATATTGGCAGAGGGAAGGCCTATTTTTTTCATATAGAAACAGAAGAAGGAAGTGCTGCTCCAAAGCTCCACACTGCTTACCATTTTTAGGTTGCTTCCATTTAAAAATATGCTGCAAAGTGGGAAATACATCTGCAGTGATTGGTTTATGTTGTCAATCCTCTTCAGTGTTTCATCTCTTCTGCCCATATATACACAATATCTTCCAGCACAACATCAACATCTGCTGTTAACCTGAGTTGGGAAAGGATTCCTCCACACTAACCATCTGCTGTTGTTCAGAGCATAAGCATGCCAACATCTGGTGAAAGCAAGAAGCCACTGCTGTAGTAGAACCAACTAATTCAGTTTGCCTCTTTGCATCCATTGCTATCACCATAGATGTGAAATAGCCAGGATGAATTTTTCCTGATTTCCTTGCGCTGGAAATACCTCAACTATTTTTTTCCTCCTACACTTGCCCAAAGCTAGCGAAGATGCTGCATTAGGACTGCAGAACGAGGTTGAACTCCAGCTTCAACCATCCACCCTCATCCATTGGGTGGCAACATGCCTCCCCTCAACACATCCTCCTTTACAGAGTGGTTGTGGACTTAAAACAAAGAGAGATCCCTATATAAACCACCTTCAACTCCTGGAAAGAAACACAAGATATAAATCTAATTAACTGATGGCAGAATATAAAGGAGGGTATATGAAGGTGCAATATGAAAGAGACACTTTGACAGTTACATCTGCATTGAAACAAACCACCTTTGCTATGAAAGGATTATATGTGTCTCTTCTGCAGGTTGAATTATGCTGTAAAGTGGGGAGAGGGGAGGTTAGGAAACAATGAAGAAGCCTGTATTCATCTCACCAGGCAGGAATGCCGTAGCTATCTCTGATGCAGTGTGTTTTGCAGAGTTTGCTATAAAAGATACCTGCAGTATTAAAATTAGAGGGGGATTTCTTTTCTTCTACAGCCAGCTCAGAGTCTTCTAAATATCTGCAAAAGGGGAATAGAGATTAAAACAGGCACCAACATAGCAAACCCCATAACCAGAACCTGAAAGTGGACTTTGGAAACAACAAAAGCAAAACGACATGCTATATGAATTTTGTAGAAGCATGGCTACAGGATCCTGATTGCTAAATGAGTTTTCTTCCTGCTGCTACCCCAAGTCTGTGGATTCCCATAGACCCCGAGCCCCGTCTATGTCAAATATCTTATATTTTGAGGAGCTTCTTCCTCACTTCAGATTCCTGGACAACTCACATATATCTATCTATGAAACTGTTTTGTCACTACTATCAATATATTTTAACTATTTTGGGATACTGGATGAGACCCTTATTTTATGGGACAAATGTAGAAATAATGTGTGTTCAGTCTGACATTTGTTGCTTTGAACTAGATAGGCACCGAGTCTTCTATTCCCATGGATGTAGCTGAATAATAGCCTGTGAGACCCAGGTAGTTTTATATATAAAAACTGGGATAACTACCAAAACTACCAAGAGAGAGCCAGTTTGGTGTAGTGGTTAAGGCACCAGGCCAGAAACTGGGAGATCTGAGTCCTAGTCCTGTGTTAGGCACAAAGCCAGCTGGGTGACCTTGGGCCAGTCATTCTTGCTCAGCCCTAGGAAGGAGGCAAGGGCAAACCACTTCTGAAATCTTGACAAGAAACTGCAGGGACTTGTCCAGGCATTCGCCAGGAGTCAGGAGGAGGAGGAGGAGGAGGAGAGGAAGAGGAAGAGGAAGAGGAAGAGGAAGAGGAAGAAGA